GCTACTCCGACAATATGTTACATCGACATGACTTTACTCAGACACTATGCTACTTCGACAGCACAGACGAGTTGCTTATTAGAAAATCTTTGTTCTCCCATAAGAATGATCATCAGTACAAACCCAAGTAGGAAAAGGGTTTTTATATCGATAAGTATGAGTGTGTGCTTTTGTTACGGACACCGAGCCACGCACGAAAACACTATACCCTATACCCGAGGTGGTAAGCCACTCGAGCTCTAGCAAGGATGTCTATTACTCCGAGGGTTTATATTGGCTTCTAGTCTTGAGATGAAAACTATACTTTTCACTTCCATTGCGAGAAAATAAGATGTAAAAGTTTATATTGATTTCAATAAATCTTGGCAAATGTAATTTGTAACTTGTGACATTTGTATGGTATTTAACATATGTGAAACATGTTTGTACTGACACTGTCTCTTGTTACATCTTTTGTTATGCCATGTTTTAATATTATTATTGTCTTTATGATTATCGATAATATTACTACTACAACACTAAATTAATCCGTCATTTGTAGTGTACAATTTTTGTTTATGTCTACACGTTCATTCCGTAGGTACGGCAGCTCCTTTCCTTTAATTTTTTCATGGTTGACAAAATACCGCAAAAACTTCAAGATTTTGGATCGCGATTTTTTTTCTCGCAATCGAAGTAAAAACCAAAATTTTCACCTCAAGACTAAAAGCTGAACTAAACCCTCGGAGTAATATATAGGGTATATAGCTGAAGCTCGGGTGGCTAACCACCTCGTATATATATTTTATATATAAAATAAAAAATATGTAACGATAAAAATATACTATTTCATGTATGTAATACAACAGTTCTTTTTTGTTACACTATATCTCATTAATAAAAAAATTTCGATTGTATGATTTTTTTGTTATATTGATTGATATAAGAAATATTTTCTTACATGGGTTTGTAATGGTGATCATACTTATCGGAGTATAAAGATTTTTAAGAAGCATTTCGTCTGTGTCGAAGTAGCATAGTGTAAAATCATGTCGATGTAACATATTGTCGGAATAGCGTAGTGTCTGAGTAAAGTCAAGTCGATGTAACATATGCGTAGTCGGAGTGGCGTGTGTCGAAGTTCAGTTTTAGAGTCGACTGATGTCATTATTTCGTAAATTTTTCTTTTCTTTTTACATGAACATTTTGTATAAAATTAATAAACTGTACAACTTTGTTGTTTCCATTTCTTTTCTGCTTTCTATCTTGCAACTTTGAGTGTTATCTTACTACAATAATAGTATTTATCGTATACTGGTCATACGATACCCCTTTTAAAACAATTAGTTTATGTGGAGAACATTTTGGCTTCCTCTAATGAATTACGACATAGTCATTATTATTATGTACAAAGTTATCTATCGTAGGCTAATTTTAGAAATAGGTGAGCACTAGAAGTATAAGTTATATAATACATTTCATATTATATTGTATTTAAATTGACGAAAAATTTGCATTATCTTGAAATCTGAATCTCTTATATTTGGCATCTCCACAGAATCTAAAATTCTCACAGAACAATAATTTCAACTTTAAATAACCGCTATCTTTAGTTTGTGATCCACCTTAAGGGTTAAAAAAGGGTTATTAGAAATCGGAATCCTTTAAAATAAGCTCCGCCCACGTCTCCCGTATGATCGGTCGCTTGGTGCTGCTTGCGTCATTCGCTAGATGGCGTGAGTAAAGTTTTAGTGCAGTGAGACGGGCCCGAACGCTCAAGGTCATTTGCTCGGGGAAACGCCATAAAGTTGTGAGTTGCAAATTCCATAGCAATTTCAAGGGCAGGATGATGTGTGTCGAGCCTGCAAAGTGGACTATCGCATTTTACAACCTTTACTCCGCCGAGATTGCTCAGTATAAAATCTAAGGTCCCGACATTATAGTTCTTTACATTGTTGTACTGTGACCAATTATTAAGTGACATGAAGTCCAAGTCGTCTTAATTCGTAGTTGCAAATAAAAATTAAAACGGCATTCATCGCCGCAAAACACAGGTTTGTTCATTATAAGTTTTTTAAAGTATAATTTACTACATTTTGTGCACGATTTTATATGTCGATTAACTTGACAAGTGAAATGAACTGTACTAGTATTTTGTATGCGTAATAAACGTTGCCAAGGCGCCTTTTTGACGGGAAAGGAAGTTTTTGTTAAGGTTGATTTTTTTGCGACAGTTCTCACGCCTCGCCACTGCAGTCTATCAGTAGGTAATCTGGTTAACAATTTATTGGGTCACATCACTAGTTACGTTTCTATGACAGGTGTCAAAACGGGCCTTTAGATTGTGAAAACCGTAGTGAAGGAAACAGCCCATCTTAATCGTGATACATGTCATTCACAAATGTCAAATAGATCGAATTAAAAAAAGACAAATGTAAAGAATACAATAAATCAAACTAATTACCATTGCATGAAGGAAATCCAGTTCTAGCTTTTTGAGATGACTGAGATCCAAGCCGCCCGACTCTGCCCACTCGGAGCACATCACCTCTTCGTCTTCACCATCGTCTTGCAGGAATTTGTTACCCACCATCTGCGATAAAAGTTTTCATGATTGCGATGGTTATAATGTGCAGCTATGCGTAATGTTAAATGTTTGCATTTAAAAAAATATCCTGCAGTTCAAAATTTAAAATATTTTGATAACAAATACAAAAAGGCAAAGTACAAATAAGTAGAATACAGTACTAGAATATAGTACACTAGAACACGTCCACTCGCAGCGACAGCGATAAGTCTACTAGCGATAAGTCTAATAGCAGCACACACACTGCCTATTCTGTCTGGTTAGACAGACAAATTATGCAATTTTATTGCAAAGGAATATTTGTTGTACTCTAATTAATTACCATTGAAAAATATTGAACAAAACCTACAAAGGTTAAGTTCTATGATTTTATATTTTTATATACATATATGGGTATACAAAGAATACCACTTTGTATAAGTGCTTCGGTACTGAATAGTAAGTAAAGAACTGACCAGCGACACGAGGAAAAGTTCATTGGGCGGCATGAAGGCGAGGTAGTCCGGGCGGGAGGTGCGCAAGCGTTCGAGATAGAGCAGCGCCAGCACGAGTGCGGCGGGCGAGACGCAGGCCTGCCGGGCGATACCCGCTGCCGCGTCGGCGTGAAGCCGCCGCAGCGACCGCCCGCGCTGTGACACCGACCACTCCTCGCACGAGATCTCTGTCCATACATAAATTACGTTTAACATTCATTGTATGATGAATATTATGATGTTTTTCTACCAAGACATTAATTCATGTTTGTGAAATGAATCCTAGTGGAGTTTGTTATAATTTTTAATGCAAAGACAATAAGATCGAAAGAATTTTAATTTCGTCTAGTCTCATTAAATTGATTTGTTGCATTGCATATGTGTGTGCATTTGAAAAGTATTTTTAAGTGGATTTACCTGTTATTGCTCATGTTGGATAAATTATTAGTAAAAACAGAAAAAAACTACTGTTTGGCATTAAAAAAATAACAGTGGTTTTTGTTCCGACACCCTTTAGTTGATACTATACTTATCAAATTATTTATATCAAATTATTATATTATGAAGTATGACGGTATACCAGTAAGTGGCAGACTGAGACACGGTAGCGAAGGCAGCTGTCCGTAGTATAGGGTCTTGGTGATGCGCCGTAGGAACTCCTTGTGGTCGCCCATGCTCTAGTGGTTAGAATCAACAATACATTTTAGAGAGCATAAAAAGATGAGGATACAATTCTTAATATATTGAAAAGAGATTGTACACTTTTGAATTTAGACAATGTCATTGTCAGTCAATCCGTATCCTCAGATTTTCTTACAAAGTATTTAATTAGTAACCTACATAATTTGCCTTGGATATTTTACCATCACACCATGATCTACTTTTTATGTTATAGGTGAAAATTAGGAAATCCGTTTGGATTTAAATTGTGAAATGGAAATACAGCGATAACTTTGGTGAAAAACATGACGCGTCGTGACGTTTCGATTCTGCGCCAGTGTGAGTTGAGCCTAACGCGGGGCGACGCGCGAAACCTCTCTACTTCAACCAAGCGTCGACGCGCGATGGCGCTCACATTCGCGTGCCGACGCTTGGTTGAAGTCGAGCAGTTTCGCGCGTCGCCGCGCGTTAGGCTCAACTCACACTGGCGCGGTTCCGCATTTGCATAACACAAATTTGTACCTTAATAATGGAAAAATAGATATGAATATGATATAGGCCCTTACTTCCCAAAGTGGTCCAGGTGGACCCCCAGGGGTCCACGGGAGACTCGACAAGGGTCGGACAAAAAATAATATGGATATGGAATATGGCAGAAATGTGGCTGCAGGGGGTCGGGTCCTCCAGAACCAGCTAAATTTTGAAAGTGGTCTATGAGAAAAATAGTCTGGGAACCTCTGCTATAGGCGAAAAATATGACGCGTCGCGACGCTTCGACTCTGCGCCAATGTGAGTTGAGTCTTATTCACGTCTAGACTCCGCAGAGTTCTGTGTACCTCTTTTTAATATATGCAAGCTGGCGCCATAGTGCAGCCAGTGTGAGGTAAAGAGGACTCCTGAAGTAAAAACAAGCCTGCCAGGGATATGAATCCAAAAAAATGGCGCATTTCGTCCCAGTTTGCTAACTGGTATCGCCACACCCATATCATATCACCCTGAACAGGTGGGGAGTATGCATCCACAACCACTGAGTATTGGTCTTGATCAGTTTTTAGCAGAAGGTCCAAGTTATTAGCCATATGAGACAAAACATCTGAGATGCTTGTGGCACCACTGACTAGCTGGAAAAGGCTTAGCATTAATGCAAGTTTTTACATCTCTCTCCCACCATGATTGGTCATCTGGTATGGAAACAACATTAACAGTCCCCCAGAATTAGTAATTGCACCCCTGGGCACCTATGTTGACATACCTCATACCAAGTATTGAAACTGCTTGGTTATCTGATCTCAACTGCGCGAGCAGTAGACACAGCATTAGACTATTTGTGTAACTCCTGTGTCATGATACAGAAGGCCCTTTGTGAGCGCCTCTCTCAAGGAGCAGAGGAATGCGGTGAGGAGGACGTCGGCCCACAGTTCCGAGGTAAACCCGTCTATAGCGACGGGTCCCTAAAGCTGTGGTGCCAGGACAATGCCACCTTTCAATGGCTAGAGGACGCAATCAGCACCATCAGGCTGCCCACCGGGGAGCCCCTCTCATTGAAAAATGGGGTGGAGGCTCCCCGGAGGGTGGTCTGTGGACTGCTGATCCCCGGTCATTGGGAGGAAGCGCGCCGTATCGGACACTTGCTCACTTGGCAGAACAAGTGGGCGGAGGTCCACAGATGGGTTGTCCACAGGTTGCAACAGCAACAAGAAAACACTTTTGTGGTGGTAAGCCTACCTGAGGACCTGGTACCTGTTATCGTGGGGCATGGCCGGCGCTTTACTTTTCAGTTAGGCACGGTCTACCTCCGATTCAGGTCCAGAAGAGGAGTGTACACGGATGTGCCGCCTGAAAAGGCAGGTACATCAACCAACAAAACAGATGCCTCCCCGGTGCCCTCTACCTCCACTGGCTTCACCAGAGAAGGAAAAGGGCCCTCCCTGACCCCCGTCCCTGTGGACGTCGCCAGCCATACGGTGGCGTCCAATAGTGAGGACGAGTGTGTGTCGGCGATGGGAGACATCTGCCTGAGCGAGGATGAGGACGACATACTGCTATCGGCTGATGGCGGTGTCCCCCTCGCCCAATAATTGTACCGTCATCCAGTGCAACCTCCACCACAGTCAGACCGCAACGGTTCAGCTTCAGAAGTGGTTGGAGGCAAACGACACAGCCGTGGCGCTGATTCAGGAACCGTGGATCGGCGCCCGCGGCCAAATAAATGGACTCTCACATCTGAGAGGTAAGCTACTATCCACTACTATCTCAGATAAACCACGGACATGTATATACTACTCAAACAAGTTACACATACAGCCACTAACACAATTCTGTTCCAGAGACCTGTGTGCCTTAAAGCTTCTAGCTGACGCGGCCACGGGCCTGCCTGAAGTGGTACTCGCCTCTGTCTATATGGCGGAGATTGATGTGCCACCACCACAGGAAATGGTACAGCTAATCAACCACTGCGAGCAGAACGGCCAGCACATTGTCGTGGCCACTGACTCCAATGCCCACCATCCGCTGTGGGGCATGGAACTCGCGAATGAAAGAGGTAAGAACTTAACAGAATACTTATTTACAACTAACCTTCAAATTCTCAATAAAGGTACAACACCAACTTTTGTAAATAAAAGGAGTAGAACCATCATAGACCTAACCCTAGCGTCAGACGGAGCAGCGAATCTTGTCCATGACTGGCACGTGTCCGAAGAAGCATCTCTCTCGGACCACAGATGGATAAGATTCAACTTAGAAACAGTTATCAAAGTACAACAACCGAAACGGAACCCCAGAAAAACCGATCGGAAAATTTACACTGACAAACTACACCAGAGCCTGGAGAAACCGGTAGCACCGGGAAGACTGCTGGACACAGCGCAGATAGAAATACAGGTTAAAGAACTGACGTCAAACATATTGAAGAGTTACAACTCCGCATGCCCATTAAGTGACCCAGCCCCGCGACAAGGCCACCAATGGTGAGGGCCTGAGCTTGAGAGGCTGCGAAGAAGGGTAAGGAGACACTTCAATAGAGCAATGAACACATGCGCGGATGAGGACTGGGAAAATTACAAGACGGCCAAATCCAAATTAAAGAAACGCATACGATTCAGGAGCACCGCGTCATGGCGAGGCTACTGCGGGAACATCACGTCTTGTGCACAAGCGAACAGAGTAAGAAAAATCCTAGCGAACTCAAATGCAAGTGAACTAGGTTCAATACGTAAAACAAACAACACATTCACAACTTCCCCTGAAGAAACGGAAAGAACCCTACTGGAAGCACATTTCCCAGGATGCAGGTTCGTCCGAGATGACAGGCGCGAAGAAATGAACTACAACACATCGACCCGAAACTGGCGATACGCTGAACAAGTAGTAACATACGAAAAAACAAAATGGGCAGTGAACACATTCGAACCATACAAAGCTCCGGGCCAAGATGGAGTTTTTCCCGCACTCCTACAATGGGGTGGGGATACACTGGCCCGGCACCTGGTTGACATCTTTCGGGCCTGTCTAGCCTTCGGCTATGTGCCCCATAGCTGGAGAGACGTAAAAGTCATTTTTATACCAAAACCAGGTAAGAACGACTACACTGATGCAAAATCCTTCAGGCCGATCAGCCTCACATCGTTCTTTTTGAAGACGCTAGAGAGGCTATGTGACAGAGAACTGAGGGACGGAGCTCTAAAGAACATTCCATTACACGGAAACCAACATGCATACTGCCAAGGCAAGTCCACCGAATCGGCCCTACATGCCGTTGTCGGCAAGATAGAAGAGGCCCTTAAAAGCAAGGCAATCTGCCTAGGCACCTTTATAGATATCGAAGGAGCCTTTGATAAAACCAACTTCTCCAGCATACAAGCAGCACTAAGAAGACACGAAGTGGATGAAGTGCTGATCAGCTGGATTAGCAATATGCTCAAACAAAGAACAATAAGAACTACAGCGAAAGAGACCCCATGGGCCGTAGTAGCGAAGGGGTGCCCTCAAGGAGGAGTACTGTCGCCTCTGCTATGGAACATGGTCGTAAATGATCTCATCACCAACCTTAACACAGAACACTTCTATACAATAGGCTATGCTGATGACATAGCCATACTGATAACAGGCAATTATGCCAGTACACTCTGTGACATCACACAAGCTGCACTCCGGATTGTGGAAAGATGGTGTAGAGCATATGAACTAACAGTTAACCCAACAAAAACAGAACTAGTAATGTTTACAAACAAAAGATTACTGGGTAACTACCTACTACCCAAACTCTTTAGTACAGAAATACAATTATCAACTGATGTCAAGTACCTGGGAGTAATTCTGGACAACAAGTTGAACTGGAACAAACACCTGGACAACAAAATTAAAAAAGCTACTATCACCTTCTGGCAATGCCGTAGAATGGTAGGTAAACAATGGGGACTTTCACCCAAGATAACACTATGGCTTTACACAACGGTGATAAGGCCTATGATTAGTTACGGTGCGATAGCCTGGTGGCCACGAACCAAGCTGACGACTGCAACTGACAAGTTGGACAAATTCCAAAGGCTAGCATGCATGGCGACGACCGGCTGCATGAGGACAACTCCAACTGCGGCGCTCGAAGCGATGCTGGACCTGCGACCCCTCCCACTGTTTATCAGACAGGAAGCGGCGTCAACAGCAGTGCGACTAAAGAGAGCCGGCCTTTGGAAGCACATGAGGACCCCACATACAGAAATCCTTTACAAGATAGTCAAAGAGGAACCGCTACTGGAGGCAACTGTGGATAGGATCCCAAAACAATACATTTTTGACAAAAAATACAGGATACAATTGTTTGAAGATCCCAACGAAGGACTAAACCTCAGAGAGGTCCGCGTATTCACTGACGGATCAAAAACAAATTCAGGAACAGGTACTGGGGTGTTCTCAGAAGACCTCAACATCAGAATATCAACACCGCTTGGTGACCACAACACAGTATTCCAGGCTGAATGTATGGGTATCAAGTTGGCAGCAGAAGCAATAATAGCGAGAAGAGTAAAGAATCACTCCATTCGAATACTCTCCGACAGCATGTCAGTACTTCAAGCGCTGAGCAGCTATGACATGAACTCAGGGCTTATATATGAATGCCATCAAGCACTCATGGAGGTATGTACACACAACCACGTAATTCTACAGTGGATTAAAGGACACAGCGGCTCACGTGGCAACGACGCAGCAGACGAACTAGCTAGAAAAGGGTCGGAGACGGATGCTGTAGGGCCAGAACCCATAGTGTCCCTCCCCAACCAATGGTCAAGAACAACTATACTCAAAGGTACAAAATCTTCTCATAATAACATATGGACAACCCTTACGGTTTGTAGACAGGCTAGGGAAGCACTCCCAACGCTCAACGCCAGTCTATCTCGTAAATTAATCAAACTTGAAAGACAAGAGCTGCGCACTCTATCTGCCGCTCTAACGGGTCATGGTCCATACAATAAACACCTTTTCAATTTAGGTATCACGGACAGTCCTCTATGCAGAGCGTGCATGGAGGGGGAGGAAACGGCCGCACACATCCTACTAGAGTGCTCCGGTGTGGCCAACTACAGGGCAAAGTACCTTGGAGTGCCGAGGTCGCTCCCCGAAGTCTTCAGAAAACCGAAGAGGCTGCTGAGATTCCTGGAGGAGCTTGGGTGGCACGAGTAGGACCCTGCACCCACCACACGCAAAATAGGCGCCTCGACGTCGAGTTGCGGAAACTAGCCCGTTGCACCAATACCAATACCAATACCAAACTCCTGTGTCAACCAGAAGCCACAATACAGAAAAACCATCAGTACCTCAAGATTCTTGAGATGCTTGATACAGATGTCATCGTGAACGTACACACAGACTTCAGTGTGTGGTAATATCCTGTGCTCCAGAGTATACCCGGGGTAGCTAAGGTACGCTGTGTCAGCTGGACATCTGATCTGCGCGTCGCTGGGGAACAGCAGCTGTGGTTTGTCAGAGTCCAGGTGGTGGTACACTGCTTCAATATTTGAATGCAGACTTCTGAGGTTGGTGAGGAAATTGGAGAAGCAAATTGGCAGGAGGAAAGCAGTTGAACGAGGCATTGTGCTTCGGATTCCATTAGCCTCCAGAACTGAGTGCTCAGTGTGGCAGTACAAGCAGCTACTACTTGTAATTAGGCGCAATGCAGTTGTTAAGACCTGACCACCTGTTGTCAACCTTGAACACAAGTTGGAACAAGGATAAAATGAATTTGGCAATTGAGCTGCGTCGGAAGGGTGGTACCTAGTCATGGCCGAAGCCTACCACCAGTTGTTGTTACTCATTTAGCACCACCCTACTTGTAGGGTATTGAGGGTAAACCTATGGAAATGAACAACATCAACTCCCAAAATTTATTGTAAATGAGTGTGCAAATCATAATAATAACTTGTTTAATTAACAGTTTTTGCTGAACATTATCAGCAAATTAATCTAAAGTTATTTTAATTGTAAATAGAGAAAGTGAGCATTACTCACATATCCAACTGACCATAAAACAAAGCTAAAATGTTCAAAACTATAGCTGCACATTCTTGTTATTCTGGTGCATGTGTACTGAGCGACCGGCAGCGCGGTTATCGACAAAATTAATGATACGGTCATGCAACGTCATGAAATCACCCGTACAAATGTGACATCAGCACATCGAATTTTCTCTAGGCATTCCTTCGAATTACAGCCGAATGCCAAAGTTTTACATAATTTTTAGAGGGTTATTGTAGTTGTAGGGGTACCGACATTTTGCTGCATTTAAATGGTGCTAGCTTAGAATAATAACGGGTACTCTGATGATAACGTGGAAAATTCATGAATGAGTCGGCCACGAGTCACGCCGATGACCCCCTTTGTTCTGTACCTTAATCTTAGCTCGTGACCCCTCTCGCCTTCTCTTTGAAACGTTGGACATTGCTGCACTTTACTTCACTGCAATTTAGGAGATGCAAAAATGACCTATATAAATAATAAAACGTCAATTTTCTAAAAATAACTCGACATTTCCCGTATGATAAAATTGACATGCGCGCGACGGGCGCGGAATAAAAAAAAGAAAGAAAAAGTGTTGCTGCATTTAAACTCCAACTTCAGTACGTTAGGGATGTACACATTATAATTCGATTTTCAAGAGCTCGATTTAAGTGTATACGACCTAGCAGTTTTATGTATCGATTCATTTCAATGCGAATTTTAAGTGTGGCGGCTTTAGACGCCGCCTATTATCACCGGCTGGCTGTGGCAGTCTCTTTGGACGAGAGTCACCAAGGAGAGTGTTACACTTGCCGTAAATGTTTGACAGTTTTTTATTACATATATTGTCATGTCAGCGATTGCAAATTGTTTGCACTATTTAATACAATCCTGTAAAAACCACGAAACAAAATAATTATAATTCACAAAGTTCATGAGGCCGTTTTATTGTTTGTTAGGGGAGCAATAAATTCCCCAAAACAAGTAAATCGAATCAATATTAGGGAGAATCAAATTGTCTAGATTGTATTCATAATTTAAACAAAACCGTCTCTTTCCGAACCCGTACTTTATTTTGGCCAGCAGGAAAAGCAGTTTGGCAACATCTAAGTAAGTCTACAATATTTGCCGATTTTCTCTACTTCTCTCTGAACGCCTTTTCTCACTAGCTAGTATCACTCTAAGTGAAAATCGTAACCACCTGAAGCCAAAAAGGCGTCAAAATTGTTTTTTTTTTAATCGAAATTTATATAATATTTATGAGATCGTTTCAAAAACATACGATTCGATATGTGCATCGATTCAGAGGCATAATGTATGATCTATTGCAATCCAAAAAATTGATTCAAGGCCAAAAACCGTGCAACTCTACAATAAATTATCATAATATTATAATTCACCCCATATCTACACGTACAATACACGGTTTCTCTGTCTACGACCCTGTAGGACACTCGTAGTAAGTAAGTAAGTAATTATATTGTTGTATCATTTTCAAAGTGAAAAATATCGATGAATTTAATGTTTATCATCATTCATCGGTTTCATTACTCATTTTATTGAAGGGGTTTATTTTACATTTAAGACATTCAGTGTACACTGAGAAATAGTTTCGTAACAGTTTACGTTTCGCTGGCCCTGGCTATCGTCACTTCTGGATCGGAACTTTCTGGACTTTTTTTGAAACTGAATACGACATGAACATTTTGCGTCACATGGTCAAGTCAATCAAACATCACTGCAAGTTTAGTTGCTTGTATAATGTGCAAGCGAAAAAAAATCGGAGTCGTTAAAGTCATTTTTGGGACGGAAAAATAGTTCAAGGAATATCATATGCAAGGATTTTTCTTTTCTAAAACAATACGTACACATACAAATGCATACTTCGCTTGTCAATAGATGGCTGATATGACGAAGTGATACATATAAAGACCGTTGTGAACGCGCAGTGTACGCGAAAAGTAAGAACATTTTCAACGCGTGACTGTCCTTGTTATATTCTATTGTAGCTTAATTTACGTTGTATGTTAAAAACTAATCGATTTATTTGGATCGCAGTTGAATTCGGCAACATCACTATTTGCACTTGACATTGTTAGTTACAAAATGTTACTATTTTATCGCATAGCTAAAAAAAAGTTAATGGAATCTTAATAAACTCACAAAGTTTTGATATGAGCTTTATAATATATTAATGTATAATAAATATATTCCTTTGAATTTAGTAGATACATGTATATATTTATTTATATTACCTATATCCCATATTTACGTAATTAGTCATTTTTTTAAATAGGCTTTGCAGTAGTTTTCAGGTATTAAATAGCAACATCAATTTTATAAAATGTCAAATCAAAGCCAAGCAATACGACGAGCGGGCGGCAGTGTTGGGTTTTTGTTCGGCTCTTTTTTTCAAACACGGCTTTTTTAATGTACTGTGATATCTCGTTTTTATTATTGCTACAGTATGTCACTTTATTAGCTGTTATTTAAATAGAGGAAACAGGATTGAGTTATTATTTAAAAAATGTGATATTTTTCCTAGGACACTTTTGGCTTGTGTCAGTGATATTGATTTATTTTATTTTCTGAAAGAACAATTTAAAAATGATATAGGCAAAGTGCAGCGCGGCTGTAAAGCTCGCGCGGCGTCGAATAGTAGTCGACAGTTAGCCGCTTCTGGTGATAATGTGCGCACAAAATGAAAACTAAAAGTTTCCTGCTGTTCTCGACGTCTGTGTTCGCGATAAGTTTATTTCTGATCGTATTCCACTCGCAACCACCGCAGTCCATCCAGACTATCGTGACGCAGACCCATCAGCACATCAAGGACTTCCAGGTAGCTTGGTATCTGGATTTTTTTTTGGAACATTTATTGACATTTGTCATACAAAATCGCAATAAATGTAAAGACATTTAAACTAATTTAAAATAAAGGCTAAATGCGTTGCGGCCTTTTGTAGAAGGATAAGGGGTTGATAGGGATTGTGGTAGTGGCATGTCATGGTAAGGCAACAGGGCGATGTGTGGGTGCAGGACAAATTGCGCGATGTGGAGGACAGCGTGCTGGTGGCGGAGGAGCGGTTCGCGCGATTGTTGGGGTTGGGGCCGGGCGCTCAGGCTCTGCGTTGGCACAACACAACCCTGCCTGTGCTGGTGACCCATGCTAGCGGCGACCACCATGCAGAGGCAGTCAGCTTCGTGCGTGCTGCACATCACCTTCCCTACACTGTCCTTCTCTATAACTTGGGATTGAAGCCTTATTCATTAGCTGTGGTTAGTGTCAACATTATTCTAATGTGTAGTAATATGGCACTTCATGCAGCAGGCTGTGGCTATATATTGGCTTTATGGCTTTTTCTATACACATGTATATCAAATTAAAATATTGGAGATTTTATTCTGTAAAGTCTGAGGTGTTTAAAAGATCCATTGTGCTTGGCAATATGCATTAAGTGTTCTCATTTCCATGATTTTAATCTCAAGTGTTTGTCATAAAGGAATGTGTGACAAGTACTCATACCATGGAGTAAATAATATGCCAACAGAGATATAGTTACATGCACTTTAGAATGAATGCTTGTTTAGGTATGATAGATGGGGCTACAGATCACTTTCTGCAGAAGCAGGGAAAGAATATTCCGTTGTATATTATATGCAAAGTTATTTATAACTGTGTTGAATGAAATTCTACATGTAAGAAACCTGTTCATCTGAGTGTAAACTGTTACATGTTTAGAACCTGTTACATGTTTCAATGGCTATGTAAATGAATAAAATAATAAATTGTGATCCAAATAAACAGTAACAGGTCTTCTGTCAGGTATCTATTTTGAGGGTAATGGTTAACCCTCATAGACACCATTTCAAGTATATAAAGTTTTGATTCACCCCGCTGCTGCTAGATTTGTGCGACACAAAGTGGCAATGTTTCTGATGATAAGACATTAACTCTCTGGTGTGGTGTATGAAGTATTTATTCTGTGGTCATACTATGGTACTTGTACTGGATACAAATGTGTAATGTTAATCATGAGTGTAATTAATATCAGTGATATTACTATTATTAGTGAACAAATTTCGTCTGAATTTTCATCTATGTTATGAGCACAGGTGTATATCTAGATAGACACCGCAAGTACTGCAATTTATATGAAAACCAAGTGTGCCACATGTTTTGTACCCACTATGACATCACAAGAACTATTTAGTGATGGGAAACCTCCTTTCGCTCTAAATCAACTGATTGAACGGAATACACGTGAATAAGCATATTCCATTCAATTAATCAATTCTAAATAGAATAATGTTTGTTCAAGTATTTGTTGATTACAAGTAGTCGTAATATTAATCTAGTAGAAAAATACTAGAATAATATAGTTAAGTCCTTTATATTACATGTTTTTAAAAAATGTTGATTACTTAAAAAAATTAAGACTTTGATTTTTAGTTATGTAATATATGGCAACTAAGTGTATTTCACTTACATTGGGCACGCCAAGTACGTACACTTGCGGCGTCTATCTAGATATATATCTGTGGTTATGAGCATATATTTAGTTATTGATTTAATCTTATTAATTTCTTAGTAATTGTCAAATTAAAACTTTCCTTGGAATCTCGAATGAATAATATTGCATACAATAACATCAAATCCATTCATTGTTTTTACAAAATCTAAGCTTTTGTGTGTTGTTGCCTTTAATGCTACTTTATTGAAATTCTACCACTAGACATAAGCATTAATACATCATGACTGCTGTAGGTGTCAAACTACTGCAACTCATCAAAGTGTGCAATTGTTGACTTAGACCTGTCCGAATTCCCGTCACACGTCAGCGACGAGAGCATCCACGCCTTTCGACCACTCATCATACAGGTACTCATATTTTCCTGTTTTGTACTATGTGTCAGAGGATGTGTCATGGAAAATTATGTTTTCATAATTGAGGGAAAAAAATTCATATTGTAATATTGAATCATTAAACTGGGTTTGTTTTTATGTACATATGTTAAACTATGTATAATATACGTCTAAAACCACAGTTTTGCGAACTTCTGATATTATATTAAAATCAAAACAGTAAAAGGAATGAAAAATATAATATGAAGAGAACTGATGGTGATAACTGATGAATAACAGAGAAACATAGACGTGCTTGACTTGCTGTTCCAATTTATATACAATGGTTCTAATAGTTGTTAACTGTAGAAGTCAGCAGGTAAGTTTCATATACTAATAGAAAAGTATTAAATGAAAAATTAAAATTTACTTATGCCTTTTTCTGGGTAACCTATCACAAACTCGAATTTATTTTATCCGAATTGCATTACTCTGAAAGCGGTTCGACTTTTTTTCATTAGTGCGATGACAGTTTTGGTATAAATTTGCAACACGGAAATGTCTTACAGCAAAAGTATCGTTTGTCCGAAAACCTATTATTAGAATAATTATTACACCGGTGAGTGCCAGAATCGAATTTGTTTGCATTACCTAGACGGTACGACCCCCTCCTGTAGGTTTAGGTTAGGTTAGTATATGAATAATCTCAGTACAGAGTATTAAAAAATCGACCTCAAAAGTTCGTAGAATTACGTCTATTAGCTAAGTTTTATTGAAATATCCCCTAGTTCGCCACTATACAGGATTTGACACTGGAGATAATAAAAATCGGTTCTCACTACTCAAAGTATATCGAGAGAAAAACGCCTTGAATTGGAGAAATAGCAAATTCAACCATTAAAGTAATTGCTCCTAAATTAAAGTTAGGCGCTATTTATAAAACGTGAACAGCCACCCTTCGAGGTGGATGATTTTCTTCAAAATGAAATGGGACCACTATGGAAAATCGGTTCACAAATACCGGAGTTATCGCGTAACATATTTACATAAAAAAAAGAACATACAGTCGAATTGAGAACCTCCTCCTTTTTTGAAGTCGGTTAAAAAGCAGCACGATCCGAACGAGCGAAGCGAGCTACTACACCTCGATCAAATTGATTTGCATCTCGTTTATCATATTTTCTAAAGATGCGAGGTGCATCATTCATTAAAATGAAACAAAATCTATTCAATGAAAATCTAAAGGTTTTCGGAGAAACAAAATTCTGTAAATCATGTTTCTAGCTTGTGATAGGTAACCCTTTTTCTGTTACCATCAATCACTTTGTTAGTGGCTGATAACTGCATTCACATGATTTAATGTCACTAATATGGGAACTATATTTCGTGCCACTTATATTTAAATTGACGTCTATCATATACATACAGTAGAAAGTAAACAAACTATCATCACAACTTTCTTAATCCATCAAGTATGTGAGTGCCCAAATGAATGTTAATTTGTATCCAATATGAAAGCTTGATCACCAAAATTTATGCCGCGACTAAAAGTTTCGATTCTCAATAATAGGCCTGCTCTGAAACAATAACTCAGTTCTCCAAATAGTAGATCTGTCGCTAAATAAATTAATTACCTTTATGAGAGTTCATCTTTTCTACAAGTACTTAATTAACATCCTCTTTTGTTCGTGGTCCCATTAAATTTTGTTTACATGATACTGCACTCAGGGTAGTTGTGTTCCTCAAAGGAATAAAAGGTGTTTGGGCTCTTCTTGAAGAAAACAGAGAGTACTTTCTAGATCCGTGCTGATTTGGGCTGATGATAAAGTCCAAAATGCCCATTGAAGGTCCTCGACAGTATAAATATCAATAATAAATTAAATGTTTCGTATTCGTGCTCGTTACAATCAGCTGCGAGAACGCTTTCTCGCTGCGAGAACGATGCTCGAGTCTTAAGTTTTTTACTCGTCATTATGATGTCTTAAAACATTATACCTACCATTTGTTGTTGGATATGATGCTTATTGTCGTTTAGTTACTTAATGACCAATAATGTTAAGGTCATTGCTTACGACTAAAAAATCGTAAAATATTTAAAAGCACTGGTCTTAAGTTCAATGGTAAAAGGGGAAAAAAATTATTGAGCAATTATACCTTGTGAATACAATATATACCGTATGATTTTTTAAGAACTTTAGAAACATGCGTTGACCGTCGTCAATTTAACTAAATAAAACTTGTGTACCTTGTATTTCGTCACATATGTATAACATAGTGTGTGCATCGGAGTTAGTATAGTTACCAAATTTTAATAATGATATTCGTTACGAAGTCGCTATTTATATGCAAATAAAAAATGCCCAATAGGAGGTGGAGCCACAATGACGGGCAAAAAATTTGACCAATTATATGAATTTGATTGCCACCGTAAGAAGTAAACGTCATCCGTCACTCGAGCCACTATTGCCTCTTATATCATCACATTCTCTAAAAGAACTCGTGTGTAAGATTATGATCTTACACAGAAATATATAGATCTTAGAAATAACCACATAATGAGGTGTTGACCACATAATGGAGGATTTGACACCACACTTGTCCTGCAGTATTAAATTTTTTATAAAAAAATACCGAGCTCAAGAGTTCATTGAATTCGCCAAGTTTTATTGAAATCGGTTACCGGAAAGTGCGCGAAAGCGGATTCATCCCCTTAATATAATTTAATAATATATAAATATTTTCTTCAAATTTAAATGGGAGCAATGAATCATCAAAATCGGTTCACAAATCGCGTAACATACATAAAAATAAAATACAGTCGAATTGGGAACCTCCTCCGTTTTTTGAAGTCGGTTAAAAGACATGTATTTCTCCACAAAACACAGGACACACAATACTTCACTAATAGAAAATACAATAGAGTGATATGAACAAAAAGGTTAAAGACTCAGCATTGCTGATTTTCAGTCTTCACCTGTAGCTAGCTGTTCGCTTGCTGCACCAAGCTAATGTGCGGTCCTACCTACCTGCCTACACACACATACACCTTTACGCCTTGTGGTCGCTTTTGAGCCGCTTGCCTATACGCACTTGGTGCTCATTCGTTTAGTGCCAGAATGACCCTCCTTGGAATTCCGCCATAAGATACGTGTGTTTCCTGTTTTTTTTTTATTTCAAATAAATTGGTCTGGTTGGTTCTATAAATACTAACCCTATTATTTGATAGCTGACTATGTTTACCGATTATTTTATATAACATTAATTTTTAAAGAATCGCTTTCATAAGTATTGTTTGGTGACAGTTCTATAATTTTTTGTCTAGTATAAACTTAATTTATTAATGAATTTATTTTTGTACAGCTCAAGGTAAGCTTACTAAAATGACCCATTGGTCCATTAAACTTCGCGCACGTTTATTCTACATTCTTCTAAGTTCACTGGAACGTTCAAGTCACACTAAAGGTTAAGTACTAATTATGGTGGAGACTGGTAATTTAAAGAGGTAGCAATTGACCTCAGCTAAGGCGTAAAGTGGTCGCACGATCACACGCGTGGGCGGCCATTCATTTTGGGCTCACATGATTATGTGTACCTTAATTAGTGCGGTGCTGCTTAGTCTAATCTATAGACCAAGATTCTTATATTTAGCAGTGTTAAACATAGACTTTTTTATGGAATACGAGACGATTGGTTATCGACAGAAGCCAGTAGACGATAGAACCAACAAACATTATGAGTTTATTCAAATCGAGAGTGTTGTGAACTGAACACACACAGATGAGCGAATGCCGAGAGCCTTCGATTGTCTAAAAAGATAATTGAAGACTATTCGAGTAATGTTGCTATCTAGTCGCGCATATTAATAGTTCCGTATTGCGTTGGGTCACAGCCTTCGTGAGGATCAAATGATGGTGTAGCATAATTGAGTCGCGGCAAGCCGCGTGCATCTTATACATATATATATTGTACATTATTTAAAACATTGTCGAGTAGTTTTCGTTGATATCTTGTTTAAACAACGAAAAACTAAACAGTTTTTTCCTTAATGCTTAAGTTGTAATCATAGAGGTTAAACTCAGCCAACCTAGTAAGGTAGATCTCGATTGCCAACAACGTGAATTGAAACCATTTTCATACTTCTACAACTTTCGGACGGAAGAAATCCAGTCTTGTCGAGAGTCCGTAATTAGTCCTTTGAATTCTCCGATTGGGGCGATGCCACCGAAACGCAGACGTCTGTTCTCCCCTTTTTTCGTATCCGTACCGATAGCCGACCGTCTCCAGTTACTTGGAAAGGACCTGTCGTTCAATTTGAGCTTCGGCAGATACATTGAATCCATGACCAAAAATGCAGCCAGGAAGCTTGGCATCCTTTGGTGACGGTGAGGCGTTACTTCATACCCGGGACTGTTGCGTCAGTTGTACCAAGCACTAGTCCGGTCGTGTTTGGAGTGTTGCTGTCACCAATGGGATAGTTTTGCGCCCAGAAGCTTATAGGTGACTAGGGTGAGTAAGGGTGAAGCTGCAGTGCCTTCAACACCGCCGTAAAGTTGCCTGCTTATCGGTATTCTACAGGATTTAATACAGAGAGTGTGCGATGGAGTTGTACGATTTAATTCCACCTTCCATTTTCCATCACCGGAAAGACATTTATTTAGACGTAGGCTGGGGTTCCATCCGTATGTTTGGAATATTCCAAGGATTCCACATTTATGTGTCTATGCTATGGAGCGGAATTTCCTGCCTACAGACTCTTCTCTGTTCACTTCTTCCCGTAGCGGTATAACTTGGGTCTTTACACGGCGAGTGTGAATAGGCATTGTTTAGGTGTGCTTGCAGCATCGTCGACCTCGTCGTCACTTCCTATCAGTTGAGATGGAAGTCCAATGCGTACTTGTATTTTATAAAAAAAAGTGGCGTGTCTCTATGCCATAGGTGGCGGAAACCCTTAGCCTTATAATTCGTGGACATAGAAATAATTTGTGTACGGAAATGTGTGTGACTTGTTAACAGTTAAAGTCCTTCAAAGTCAGTCT